ACATCTGCTGTACTGCTGAAGTCAATTAGGAAAATAATTGCCTTCCTGTGCATAAACAGCAAATTGTCTGAGCTCCAGAAGCAGGGGGTCCCCAGAAAGGCTTCCCACTAAAATACAGCTTACAGTAGCCTGAAAACTATTGATCCTATTTACTGGGTCCTTCTTAGCTACAGCGTTTATGTCCCATATTAAACCCAGTGTTGAATCAGTGGGTTCAACAGCTCCTGTCAAAAGATCTGCATTTGCTTTCTGGAGAGAAGCCTACGTCATTTGTTATCTACAGACTGCTCTCAAGGGTCATCATTAGCTGTAACTCAGAGAAAAAGAGACCATTATTTCCTACATGTCATGCTCTACCCACATGCAAGTCACCTGCTGAAGTCTTTCCAGCTCCTTTGAGGCCATCCACAGCAACTGCCAAGTCCCAGGGGCACCACCAGCCCTAACATGTCCCTGCCCAGCCTCTGGGGCTCCTCACACTTGACTCAGCCCTGGACCCCATTTTAGCCCCCTGGGGCTGCCAGCCCCCACCCCAGTGGAGCCACAGTTTGTTGCCTGATACCTGGGGTTGCCCATGCTACCCAGCTCCTTGCTGGGGTGGTGGGATGATCCCTTGCTGGAGACATCCTGCCCTGCTGCCCTGGGAAGCCCCCTTGTGTCCTCATGCCTTGGGGAACAGCTGGCCTTGGAAGTGCTAGCTGATACTCTTCTCTAGAAGAAGAGTTATTAAATGAAGTATTTGCCCCAACTATGGACTGAAAAAAATAGAGATCACTGTGAAAAAATAAAAGGGACCAGCTGAGTAGGATAGCACCAGCATGTAGGTACTGCAGTTGTCACCTCTTCCACTCCAGTTCAGCCTCAAGTTTTATTCCTGACTGCATCAGCAGGACTTCCTCCCAGCCCCATGAAGCCCACACTACCTGCTGCAAGGGCAACAGAATCCATCACACGGAGGTCTAGGAGTCCTGTCAAATCGCACAGGGTGAGCCACAGTTTACTGTTTGTACAATTACAAGCTTTCATGCTTTGCTATGTCTGTTCCACATCCTATCTCACTGCCCATCTTCATTCATCCAGAGGTTTGCTCAGCAGCTGGAACATGCCCGCCATCCAGAACAGGGAAAGAGCACATCCACCACACCAGCCAGCTCCCTGAAGTCCAGCCAGCCATCTCCAGCACCTGACAAGCAACAAAAGCCAACCGCTGACAGGGCAGAGCCAAGACTCTGCTCATAACTGTGTGAAGCCCGAGGGCAGCATGTTGCTATGCCTTGGATGGCAACATCCTCCCCAGGCCATCCATCTCCTGCCTTCTTCCCTGTGACTCTTCCCAAAAGAAGAGAGTCTGTCCAGTCATATTCCAAAACCATTTTTGAGCTTCTTCCCAGCCCCACACCTACTCCTCTGCTAACAGAAGTCACTTTCTGCCAACATTACGCTGCATATTGAGAAATGTGAGCCTTCATCTCTCTGCCAGGGCCACCCCCACAGCTTCCACTGAAGTGGGCTCTCATCTCCTTACAGTCCCTGAAGCCTGGAGATCACACATCAATTAGGATAGCGGCAGGTGAGTGCTTACCACCTCTGAATCAAACACTTTGCTGTTGCTTTCAAGTTTTATTAATGTTTATTAATTCCTGTTGATGGCTTATCAAAAGCATTCTTTGGAGAATAGCACAATAATCAGGATTATTGTGTTTTGTGATTTTTTTTTCCCTCCTGGATTCTGTACAACTTGATTATTAAGGGGAAGAGTAATTCATTATCCCCAAATAGTTCATAACCCAAATACACTGCCACCTGCACACATCTACTTCCAGTAGCCTACTGAAGTATTCTGCCTCAAAGTCCTTCACTTCTGAAGGATGACAACAGAAAATTGCTGTGGAAACCTGAGGGCAGAGGATGACAAACACCTGATCCCAGCACTAAGAAAGGTGACAAGTCTGCATTTTATTTTATTTACCAGCTACAACATAGCAAGAGAAGAGTTTACTCCCTTTAGTCTGGAGTTGTCACTATAACAATAACAGCAATAGCGCTTAGACAACTCTTTCCATTTCTAAAGCACTTATATCTGCTAGCACTTGGAGCACAACAGCTCCTCAAACAATGGTAACAAAAGGAAGAAAACTGATGCAACTTCCCACTGAGAAATCACCAAAACCACAATTATTTTTCAGGAGCTCAGATTTTGCCCACATCTGTACATCTAGTCTGTGGCTTTCGCAGGTAACGTTGCATTTGTTGTGCTTTTCCGCCCCCATATAAATGGCCACCTTGCCTCCAAGTGAAAAAGGTAATTAGGTTCTACCAAAAAAACTAGAAAGAACTTCAGAAACAAAGATGCAGCCAAGTACTAACTTAAGAAAAAACACCACTGAGTATAAAGAATAAAGCCAAGACTCTACATCACCATCTGTATTCAGTTTAAAACCTGATCTATAGCCAGGTGTCTACCACTCCCTTACACAAACATTTTAAACATTCATTCTGCAGATAGGGGGAGGCACATAGATCCCAAAGAGACTTTGAAATATCCTTATTTGTTTGACCCACTTACAGATATCCTTTACCTATTGATAAAACACGGACTTGAGCATAGAAAATATTTCCCCATTCTCAGGTACACAAATCTAAGGAGGAAACCCTCATGACTTTATTCTAACCCTAAGGATGCTGCAAGAAGACTCAGTGTATACCTCAGAGACAAAATTGCTGCTGAAGAAGGTAACATGTCTCTAGTCTCTTCACGTGACACATGGGGAATGACCTGCTAATTCTTCCCAGTTGAACCTACGTGCCAGTAGGGTTATCCCCATAGATCTGTATGAATTACAGTGGATTGCAGCTTTTTGCTTACTGCACTTTGTTATTCCACCAGAGCACATCTAACTGGTGGAAGCAAGTGGAAGAGGGATAGCTACTTCAGAATAGTTACCTCTTTGTACTGTCTACTCCAGAAGAAATGTAATATTTTTCTTAATTATGTCTCCGCTTCTAAAGGGAAACAGGTTTCCTGAAATACTGCAGTTTGTATTCTGCACTGGACAGTCCACACAGAGGAATATTTCTGTACAAACATAAAACTTTATGCCAGTTCAGCTAGATAATCTTAAGCCTCCTGTAAATTCATCACCCAGTTTGACAAACAGAAAGTAGAACTTCGGATATGACCGGTAAGTGCAATACCTCTCACATCACCTCTGCTGCCTGGAAGTAACATTTTCTGAGGCTGTCCAGAGAATACAGCTAGAGATGTCAAACAGCAATAAGAGCACAAGTACATTATGTTGTTATGCAGTTCACTATTAAACCTTCATGAGCTGACAGTAAAACTCCACTGCATGCTTTCTGAATAAGAACAGGATGAGCGGGACTCTGTGGCTCCTGCAAAAAAGAGCTCTTGAAAGAGTGAGACAGGGAGACAAAGAAATAGAACATATTTTCTCTCAAATTGACAATGTTTTCCTTAATATTACATCATTATGAAGTGTAAGCTACTCCAGAAATACATTTTTCAAAACAGTGAGTTCCTCCTCTTGTCCATTCCTTAAAAGAAATCGATTTCTTGTTTCATTAGTAAAGCAAATCAATGAAGTACAGTCAAGTTATTCAGTATATTATTTTTAATTCATCTGGCATTAGCCAGGTCAGGAAACACTGACAATTATCACTGGCATGACAACAGCACATTCACCCTATGCATTTGTTACCATCCCAGGATGGATTTGTGCTACTCTTACAGCTTTTCTGTACTCTATGTTGTATAAAGAATAAATTCCATTTTGACTCCATAGAATTAGGGAATACAAAAGCAAGAAAAGCTAACAACATCTGCTTGTTATTTGCAACTGCAAAGCTGTCACGTATGACAGTTGGCCTACTTGTTTTTTCTTTAAGGGACGGTCTGTGTTCTAGAGGGGAAGAAGTGGCTGGAAAAAAACTGATGTATTGTAGACAGACTTTTATTCAAGGTCTTACAGGAAGTCAAAAGCATTACCAATAATATAAGCCTTTTTCAATTCACAACCCATGTCCTAATAATTGGACTACATTGTCTCCAAAAGAGATACTTATTGTAATGAGTCCTGAAAAAACATTACCATTATCATTTCATACTGTGTAGCTAAAGAAAACCAGAGGTCACTCTGCATGTGTTATCTGTCTGCTGAGATTTTTTAACTGAAGAAAAATTAGGAAACATCCACATACAATGCTACTCAAATAAACTATTATTTTAGAATTGCAATAAAGGAGATTAAAAGCTCAACAGAATGAAAGCTTTGAATTCCTTACTCCATGTCACATTCTAATAAAACATGCTTGTCTTCTGAGCAATGAAGATCAGATGGATGCCTTAAGAAGTTCCCTAATGTCAGATCTGTGCTGAAGGATATTTTTAGCACCCCTGGAACTGATGACCAAGCTGCATACAGAGCCCCTTTTGATGTACTCCTGCCCCATAAGTCATACCAGACCACAAGTAACCCTTGTTGACAACCTCTTAGAGTAAAATGACCATTACCATGACCACTTGCAAAGTGAGGATGTAGGGAAGGCGACTGCAGGAAATCTTTGGTCAATCAGATATTTACAGGACAAGGGGGAATAGTCTTAAACTACGTGAGGGGAGATCTAAATTAAAAGTTATAAGGAAATCCTTCACTCATAGGGTGGTGAGGCACTGTAACAGATTTCCCAGAGAGGTTGTGGATGCCCCATCCCTGGAGGTGTTGGATATGGCCCTGAGCAACCTGATCTAGTGGGTAGCATTCATGCCGATGGTGGGGGGGAGTGCTGAACTAAGTGATCTTGAAGGTCTCTTCCAACCCAGGCCATTCTATGAAACTCAAAAATGAAAAGTTTTCCAAGGGAAGCATTTTTGCCCCATTTGAGGGTTAAAACATATGTCAGGGCTTTTTTGAAGAAGTGGTAATAAGTAAGCTGGTACCCCAACAGTACCATGAACTGCAGACATTTCTGTAGTGATCTTTGTTCCCTGTGCCCTCTTGTTTTGCATCAAGTAGTATTTGAGAGAGAAGGAGTATTCGCATCGTTGATGGAAAAATGCAGCAGATTTCCACATTTCATAGCTTGGTCAGCTATGCTGAAAAGCGAATAGAGTAAGGAAAGGCAACACACTTCATTGCATGCTCCTGTCCCAGTTGTAATACCTATGGAGGCCTCACTTCCAGGCTCCAAAACACAGGAAAACAAGACGAAAGCTAAATCTCAAGCGTTGTCATACTTCTCAGTTTATGTCAGTGTAAATGCTAAAAAGTAAAGCAAAAATAAACACTCTTTAAGTAAACAAAGGTACTGCAGGATGATCCTGGGGTTCAGAATTGCATCCCATTGATTGTGTAGTCTTCCTTTCCCTTCGGTGCTGCTTTTTGCTTGGTGGTAGTCTGATCAAGTGTCATTAACAGAACTTTTTAGCTTATATAACTGAGCAGCATCTTCTAGGTGATGCAGCAAGTACCTCCCTTGCAGCAAGTACCTACTTAATTCCTCTGGGCATTTCCCAAACCTGTATCCTCTGAGAATACAGAGTAATGGATCTTTGTAGTCTATTGTTCAAATTTGCTAAAGAATGCTTAGAAACTTCATTATAACTTTCTGCTGATGAGGAACTGTTTTTGTTTTTTTTTTTTTTTTTTATGTAAAACGTTAATATGTCAATACTTCATGATTGAGATATGTTGGAGATGTTTTCTTCCTTTAGCCAGCTATTTAAAATAACTAATGATGTGTGATGAATATTTTTAGAGGATGTCAGGCGATGCTATTTTTGATCACACAATATGCCTGTTTTCTCTTTCCACAGAGGGAGACAGGGATGCTGGGCTGGATGTGTTTTCCTCCTGAATGGGATGTTTTTGGGAAATATCAGAAGTTATACTACATACACAAGAAAAGTAACATCCTAACAGTCCCTGTCATAGGCCTCCCTCAGCATTTCATTATAAGAAAATCTTTCATGGTTGATTTTATGAATGTAATTGGTATCTCAACCACCTTTATCCTCTACCTGACATCCTCAAAATCAATGGCAGATTTGATCACTTTCAATCACATCTCATGCACTTCCCTCATTAGTGTTGTTATTGGATTACAAAGAACAGCCTAATAAGTTACTGTTCTAATACCAGTATCAGTGTGACAAAGTAGCGGAGAAAAGCTGTAATTTGTAAGCTGGTTTGTCATGAGCTAGCTGTAGGTGTACAGAGTAGGAGTATAACAGGCACCAGGACTATGTTGTGATTCATGTTATAGACCTTAACATAAACTAAGAAGGAAAACACACTTATTAGGAACAAGATTGTGCCCATCCCTCACACAGACACACAGAAATAAGAGGGATAAAGCTTTTCCGTCTTTGACTGGAGCCCCCTTCTCAGCCAGCTAGAGGAGAAGGAGGGTCTTGGACCTGATACTGTTCTCTCTATCAGCAGTTAACATTGTGCTAAATATGTTCATAGCTGTACTGCCTCTGCTGATTAAAAATCAGAGAGCTAAGTTCAGCTGTGCTTTGTTCCGTAAAGAAAGAAAACATACAACTGGACATACTTTTAGTAAAAATGAGAAAATCCCCAAAACACATCACTACAAGATGGATGCCAGTGTCTTTGGGAAAAATAGCTGGCACAGACCAAAGATCTAGTTCCTTCAGTAAAAGGAAAGGAATTGAAACTGGCAGGATCTGGCCATGACATAAAAGCCCTTCAGTGTAATAGCAATGATTCAAGTCCAGCACTATGATAGTGACAAGGTATATGATGACCTACAGAAAGCACATAGATTGCCCTGGCCTGGCCAATGCCTACAAAACTGAGCTTTTGTACCACAAATGGTCCTGCTTCCCTCCAACACTATTCTCAAGGACTGGACAAAAGCTGCTAGAACACTATTCTGACAGATTGTGAATGAGCCTCAGGAGCAATACAACCCACAGCAAGGTGCTCTAATCCTGAGTGCTGAAGTTCAAATACAGCTCCAAATTAATCCTTACTCACTCCACTGGCTGGGGCTAGAGAAGGAATAAGTTTAGCCCATCGTACACAAAAACAATAGCTGAAGCAGAAGCCAGATGAGAAATTGTTCCATGTTCATGGCAAGCAATCAACCAGGCCTCATAAGAAACCTCCCAAAAGAAACCTCCCACAGTTACACACCTCCTGAAACACCAACATTGCAATTTCCTGACATAGTGATCTGTCTGAAAACCCACTGTTCAGAAGCAATGAACAGCAAGAGAATTAATCAGAATATCCAAGAATTTGAGTATGTTTTGACTCTTGATATTATACATAAACTGTTATTAATCCAAGATATCCCTGTAGCTATGAAACCTTAAGCTATTGGAATCCTGTAACTGACTTATCACATAAAATGCATTCATGCTAAACTACACGTCATCTGTGGCTATCTTAGATAAGAACATGTCCTACAGATGACAAGACAACCAAGTATGGTCAACAGCCACAAGCAACTCCTCTTTTCTCTCAGTTTCTTGGTGCTCAGAGTTACAGGCTTTCACCCAACTAGCAGGAGAGCAGATCCCCAGGGCAGAGGTCTTGCCTCAAAGACAGGAACTGTAGGACTGTCTTCTAGTCCAGAAAGCAAACAACTAAGTGCCTGCCCAGTGTCATTAATCTGCCTATACACAGTCATGAACCTTATTGTTACATTCAGATCAAAGTTGGTGTGCTGCACACTATTAAAAAACAGTCAAAGACCTCACCGAAAGGGTCTTGGACTGTTGGAAAATATCACCAGTATTCCAGTGATGCCTCCACACTCACTGAAGTCCATTTCTCTTTGTTACAGGTGACTGAGACAGGCTTGTCAAATTGATTTTCAGTGAGAGTTAGGTGAATTGTTTTCATCCTACCACTGCTCCTCACTCAAGATGTGGCCTAAACTGTGTTATACATGAGAGAAGCCTCTACTACTTGCCCAGGTCTACTCACAAATTAGGAAAGCAATCACTTACTGCTTTGTTTTCCCTCAGCAAGAGTGACAGCACTTGATCCAGGTGCACACAGGACACAGGAGTTGTCAGCTGCATGTCTGTGGAAAGAGGAGGAAAAAAAAAGATTTGCATGCACCAAAGAAGCACATGACTATAGATGCAAGCTTCCCTGAAAAAACTTTGATATCTCCACCAACATAAGATTTCACAAACAAAGTTTGCTAGCAGTAAATTGCCAAGTTCCTAATACTTCAGTAAGCGTTGGTACTGGCAGTGGCACAACACTAGCTCAACTTCCTTCCAGGGAAATTCATCCATCACTTTTTCAAAACAGCTGAGGAGCCTTTGGCCCCTGATTTGTCTTGCAGAGAGCTGCAGTATGGTAAGCTGCCAGCTGCTAGAGAGCACCAATATTGCTGCCAAAGCAGCAGGTGAAGAAGCCGCAGTGAAGCTGCAGGTCATCCTTATAGAATGACATGTAGTTTGTATTTAATGCCCCTTTTTGGTTGTTAGGCAAGCTCAAAACATCAGAGGTTCAAAGGGGCTGAGAGGAGTGAAAGAAGACGAGCTGGACAAGGCATGGAGGACAAAGTCCTGGGGCAAGGTGAAAATGAAACACTGGTAGGAGGAGAAGGGATGTTCTCATTGCAGAGAGAGAAGGGTTGGTGAAAATGTTGTGAGAAAGAGGTATTTAATCATTTCCATAACTTGCAAAATATGCTCCATGTGTAGCCTTTCATGACAGGAGTGTGGCAATACTCCACTGAGTGTAATATGGCTACACAGAAAAACAGTAACTGACCCAATAACCAGCTTCTGCAGTTCAATGTCACCTTCTCTTTCCTTCTACAAATGCAGTTTTTACTTACATGTATGTGGTAGTTTATATATACGCACACGTATTTTATAAACTTGCTTGGCGAGTGAGAAAATCTCAGGTGTATTTTCACTTTTAAATGATTCTGCACTCCAAATTTCTGAATGATTCACTGCATTAAACCAAATTCCCAGGGCAATTCCTATCAATGTGGTTACTAGAGGGAGCAAACACAAGACTCAATCACATGCACCTGCTGCAGTGGCTACACTTGATATTTAGCACAATTGCTTTCAAAATCTGATTTTCCAATAAAGCAACTTTCTACTCTATTTTATCTTATTATTCCTTTATAAATTAGTTTCTCTCTATTTTAGGGAATTTTCATTATTAATTTCTGTAGAAGAGTAAGCTGACTGCAGTTATATTCTCTTATTAGATCATCCATTCAACCCACTGCATCTTATAGGATTAGTGAGGAAACAAGAGACCACACACTATTGGATTTTGGACATGGAGTCTCTTGTGCCTAGCTCAGACTCACTAAAAGGGCCACTGCAACTTAATTACTCACTGAAGTCAAAAAGACAAGTGCTGAGCAGTGATGAACCATATTTTTCCCTGAAGTTGCCACCAGCAGTCAGCATCTACTCGAAGTGCTTTGTTCATTCTTTTTCTGCCAGGGAATAAGCTGCATCACAACATTTTAAGGGGTAAAGTACTTCTGCCTGACATTCCCTAAATACCTTACCATTTTTGAGTGAGTGAAAACTCAATTTCTTTCAGTAGTCTACCATCAAATTCCCAGCACTGCTTGCTTTCTATATCCCCCCATAAATACCCATGCATGCAAAACATTTATTTTAGTTGTACTGAAGTAAAATTTCTATTACAGAAGCATTTGTTTTTATGGAATGTATCTGATGGTATTGCAGCTCTATAAATGTTTCTAGCATCCATTCTTAGATATCTGGACAGATGAAAAAGCGAATAAAAATCAAATTCATACTGGATAACTATCAAATTCAATCTGGATAGGTTTTCACGTGCAAACATTTCTCGTAAAACATAACTAAGTCAAAAATATAACTATTATTAGATCATAAACAGAGCAAGCAAAATTACTCTCTTCCTATGCTGGAAGCATATTGCTTCCAGGACAGAAAGAACCAAATTTACGCCAGATATACCCAGTTACTTTACTGGAATTGTATCAAAGACAGGGCTGCCCTTTTCCCTATGCACATGTGATTACAAGTCCCATGGAAAAAACATTTGGTTTAGGCTTAGAGGAAGGAGAAGCCCACAATTTTATGGCCACATCCTCCAGCATTGCCAAGTTGTGATGAGAGGTGGTATTTCCATACATATTACTCATACTGGGTCTATGTAAGCTGCCTGGTTTGCCAGAACCTTCTTTCTAACCCAACTTTTTTGTGTTAGAATTAATTTGAGCAGAGACAACAAAAGGAGATACATTTTTCCCTGAAAATATCAGACTTGTCTTAGTTCTACTGAATCCAATAGTCTGTCAATAAACTACGTTTTGCTTCTGTCTCGTGCAACCTTAAGCTTTGTTTTAAATCCGTTGAAATGATCCTGACCATCAGTAAACTAAACAATCGACACAGACCAATGTAAATACTAAGTCTCATCCTCTCTTCATAGGCTTTCAGTATTCACAAACAACTCACATCCCTTACTCTTGCTTTCTATATTAACACCTACTCTCAGCTCTATTTTCCTCTGACTGTGAGACATTGATGTTACTCAGGTTCCTTATGTAACAGTGACTCATGGAAACCACAATCCAGTATTTACAAGATAGGTATTTCCTTTATTCAGTCCTCTAACACCATCCTCCATCTTAACCCTAACCTGTTCCTTGTCGGGGTGCTCCTATCAGCTTACAAACCACATATTCCACACTGAGCTGCAGAACCAAACACATTTGTCCACCACTACGTCTGTGGACCATCTTGCATTGATCAGTGAATCACTTTAGTATGGTCTCTACCTCCCACAACTTTATAAGAAAACAAATCTGAACTTCTCCTTGTCTGAGCAAAATCTACATTTGAAAAACGTTGGGTGTTCAGGACAGATTACCGGCAAAAGATGCTTGCCTCTGACCTAATATTTATTTCTCCTATCCTATACTTCTATTTGCAGGTGTTTGTTTTAAAAATTAAGTTAGTGCTCCTCAAAATGTGAGGGACTGATTTTACAGTTCTTCTGCTTAGAGAAGTCTCACCTGTCATCATCACAAAAGCAGAGAAGATACATCCATGCTGTTAATCACATTGCAAAATCTCACAGGCAAAGTATTTCAGCCTCCACAACACCTTTAGACATACGTTTTAGACAAACTTTTGAAGAAAACTTGATGTGGATGAAGAATCCCCTGTATCATTCTCATAAAGGTAGGGAAGAAAAAACAAACATATATTCCCCGGTTGTGGATAGTGCTTGATGATGAGCAAAATATGAAAGTCCAAGATCTCTTTGGACACTGGGTCCTTCTTCAAGTGTTTGCATATGACCAATGGAGAACAGTCAGACGTGTTAGTGTCAGTGATAAGCACCAGCCTTTTGCAAAAGGGAACTGAGCAGCTTCTTCCTATTTATCTCTTACACAAACTTTGTGGATAGAGGTTCACAAACTTGGTATGAGAGGTTGCTAAAGGAAAGAGTCTTGTATTGGTGGGGCAGCCCCATTCTGACAGCAGAACAGAATCTTGAGGGCCACGATGCCCAAGTGAAACCTTTTGCTCCATTACGCATAAAATTAATATTAAAGTTAATTGAATATGATAATGAGCTCAAAGAAGTACATGCTAAACAGATATGACTATATATGACGATTCCTCACCTAATTCATGTTAGACATCACCCCAGAAAGGGAACAGATAAGGTTAGGATAATAGTCTTAGGAGTAAGTGTAAATACAGAAGAGGGAAAAAAAAAAAAAAAAAAGAGTACAAAAAAAAGATGAAGTTAGAGTGAGGGGAAAAAAGGGGTGAAGGGAAAGAAACTAGAAACATAGGGGTTGTGCCCTATGGGGCTGTGCCCTTTCTCCTCCAAGACAAGGACACCTTTTTTGTAAACTATGTACCTTCATCCTTAAGTGAGGAATACCCAGGATAGCATTTTGCTAGCACTATTATCATATATGAGCACTACTGCAGGAAGTGTATTTATCAATGGCAACTCCAAATCTATTATATGTCACCTTATTAAATACATTAAACTTTGTGAAGCTGTCTCAGTGAAAGCCCTTACTAGGGCTCTGAAACAGGCAAACAATGTACTCCGATAAATCCTCTTTCAATGCAACATAATCTCAGGAGACTTTCTACCCTAAGTCTTCCCACCAAGACCTCAACTGGTTCTTGCCTCAAGAAAGAAAGTGAAACACTGAAAGAAAAAAGTCTGCGTACTTACTAGTTTTTATGTTTGGAATTTGCAGTTATGCTGTTTGGGATGTATTATTTCAGGATTTTTCATATTCAGAAGTCAAACTAATTGTATTGGACATTTTATATGCCCTCCAAAGCTTCCCCCCCCCCCCCAAAAAAAAAAAAAAAAAAAAAGTACAAGCTTCAGAGCACTTTCTTTTCACTGAAATTAGTAGTATTGGAATTTAACATTTTTGTTGAAGCAAGACACTAACTTAAACTCTGCCACCTTGTAATCAATATGGTTCTACTCAATTCAATTATATTATAATTATACCAGAAATAAAATCAACTTTGCTTCCTTTTTCACTTTTTAAGTAATGAAATGAAGCAAACTCCATGATTTTTACCTTTAAAAGTGAAATTTTTACTTTTAAATGAAAATTTTTCATTTCCCATGAAAATCTATATACATCAGTATTAACCAGTGACACTAAGTTTTGCTTCAAACTTGGTGGTGAACTAAACTTATACTTAAATTTGTACTTGTTTCACACAGGATGAAAGATTGAAATATTAAAAGGTTCTCCTCAAGACAGTCCTTGCTGAATGAAATCCAAGAAGTTTATCAAGATTTATTTCTAACCAATTGTGTTTGAAAATGTTTAAGACAAAGTACCTCAGCTCCTAAATATTTATTTGAATCAAAGCTTTGAACTGTGACAGGTAAAAGCATTCACAATATGAAATATACTAACATACAAAGCCAGTGAGTAAAATATAAATGCTATGTGACGTCCTGTAGTTATCCATGACAGCTTAATAGCATCCCAGGAATATAGCAGATGCAGCTTAAACTTCTCCAGAACATTAGTTCTTAGCC